AATCTTCCAAAAGATTCTTCCCCCGAAAATGCCTATGTCTGTCCACATTCCGGCGACGGCCGACTTGTGAACCACGGCGGCGACCTTGGTTCTCTTCCTCTTCAATTGCCACTACTATGAGAACTTGTTCATCGACTTGCCTTTGCAACTCATTGATTTCATCGGCTCTACGGTTTCTCTCCTTTCTTTCTCTCTCTTGCCTCTCCAAGCATCTCCTATATTCTTCCATTTCAAATCAATGGAGTATGAATTCTAAACTCTAAGAAATGAAAATATTGAAAGATATGGTGTGAGAGGTATGAGGTGAGCCTCTAGTTTTATAGAAAAATTTGGCAAGATAGAGATGCCACGTGGCTTGATTTGATTGGATGAAAATCTTGTCTGAAATTTGAAATTCATCCGAAATTTGAACCCAAATTTATCTGAAATTTGAATTTTGAAATTCATCCGAAATTTGAACCCAAATTTATCTGAAATTTGATTTTTGAAATTCATCCGAAATTTGAACCCAAATTTATCTGAAATTTGATTTTTGAAATTCATCCGAAATTTGAACCCAAATTTATCTGAAATTTGATTTTTGAAATTCATCCGAAATTTGAACCAAAAAATCTTATCCTGAAATTTTATCCGATTATGAATAGTCTTGACACGTAGGAACCCGTAAATCTTATCCGAAAATATTATCCAAATTAATTATTGAGGTAAAAAAAATTGTGAATAAAACAAAAAAATGAAAAGTAACATCCCTTAGCAAGGGCAACGGGTGGAAACACAAAATTCGGATTTTGCAAGGGCAACCACTATTCACGTGAATAGTAGCTGCCCTATCTCCCTCCCTTGCCATGGCTAAGGGCAAATGGGTGGAGTTGCTCTTATGTCTCTTCAATATCTTTAAAATACTATCTTAGGAGTAGGAGTAACTATTGACAACTATCGCAAAAATCGCAGAAACTGTTTTGGGATTTGTGGGCAGTACCCACTTCATTCCGTTCATTAATATATCAACAAGAAAATCCTTTTGATACCTGCATTTCTTAAGCATTTTTCTTGAGCACCATCCAATCCATCCAGATACTTTAAGACAACCTCATTTCCCAAAGTTGTCTAAACCCACCGAGTCACCAAGCTTAGTGCCACCATCGCCGAGCTATCGAGTTCGGCGACCCATTTGCCATACCAACTGTCTTAATAATTTCAACGGCCGAGACTTGTTCCTCTCTTGGCCAACAATCGTTTGCAAAGCAGTCAAATCACATGGGCAACTCGCTCTGATATTATAAAGGAAGTTGAAGTTCCACCCCATAACTAATTGGCAATGGGGCGAGTATCCCAACACCTTATACGCCCTTACAAAGTTTTGTAACTTTCGAATATGGAACATTTTACCTTCACATTCTCACAATACTCTCTTACTTTGCATTGGTTTCAACTTCCGAGTTAAGATGTGATCCCTTACAATATGACTTGGGAAAGAATATTTTGTTAGTTTAATTTTAATGTGGACTTTTTTGATATTTAGTAAGTTTTAACAGTTTACTGGTCTTGACATTAGGCCACGATCTATTAGTAAATAAGTAAATTGGTTCTTTAGGTGTTGGGAGTACAGTGGCAAGAATAAAATAATTGGACTCCCATTTGGTGACCAAGACTCCTTATTTAAGTTTCAACCGCTTGACCGATGGCCTGTTGTAGTGTGGGGATACTTTTAAAGTGCAACATGCACTAGATTCTTGGATTATGGGAGTGCTCCTAGCACGTATGGCTTGTTGACCCCCATTTTCCGTTCAATTTTCTTGTTTTTGATTATTCCTCCTTGGTGGTAATGGCGGATTTGCGAAGGTGGCACTGCTGGTGTGTTGGTGGGGCGAGTGTGGTTTAAGTCTAGATGTAGGGTTTTTTGTTTGATATGGTTATGGGCAGTGTCTATGTACTCGAGCTTTAACTTGGTTAAATTTCTGTTTTGTATCTTTATGTTGGGTCCATTTGCTCTACTTGTTGGTATGGGCTGCTTTGTTTGGGCTTTCCAGTTTTTGTAATGCTTTCAACTCTTAATAGTCTGGCAGAGTTATGAAGCAAGTTTAGCTGGAGTCCAGCCAAGCCTTAACCTAAATCGTTGCTCATGTGATTCGTATTTTACTGTACAGGGCGGATTAAGGTGAAATTTAATTGCTTGACTATATCTTAAATTTTCATTCTATTTTTGTTTATTTATTAAATCTGAACGGAGTGAGATTTGTCCAAAACTGGAACCGATTTTTTATATGTTTTTTCTTTAGCAAATTTGAAAAAGGTGAGGTTATTTATAAGGGATCGATACTATGAAAATGCATGACTTATTATTTCCTCATTTAGCTGTTTGGTGTATTTTACTCTCCCAACCATACTTGAACCTGGACCCGAACACTTGTATTCTCCATAAAACACAGTGCTGAATATAACAACAAATACAAAAAAAATTGAAACTATTAATTAACTCTCAAAACCATTCAATTATATGAAAATGCTAAATTAATTAGTGTGTTTTTTAATTTGCTTACCTGTCACGTTCGGGGCGGTTCTTGTTGTTCCAACCAGCTGGGGTGATGACCTCGAACATGCTGGTGTAGGCAAAGACCACCCTTGGACTGGTCCTCCAAGCCCTGCCCAAATACGTGCCATTTCCAGTCCCAGTTATGTTGCAGTGGACAAATGAGTATCCAGTATCCTCTAAAGCTGAGTCCCTTGCTTGTGCTGTTATCACTGTCATTTCATTATTCCCCAGCACATGTAACTCAGTGTTCTGCAACCATTAATTAACTACCCATCAAAACCATGACATAATACATAGACAACAAATAGTTGAGTTATAGTGAAGAGTTATTCGTATACATAACGTTTCTCACACAACATGTACGTGAAATTCTTTGTTATAAGAAGAGACTCGCATTTAGTGATTTGATTTGTAAAACATGTAGGGAGAGTTAACAAAAGTTCCTTTATAAGTTTTCCTTTTATTTATGAATTATAGGGAGAGTTTGGGTGGCATTACCAAATAGAGAGACTTTCCACTTCCAAAGATGAAATCCACAGTGCCTTCAATAAAGCAGTCTTTGAAAAAATGATTGCCCTTGTCATCACAAAGTGTATCCTGAAAACCAATCAGCTTGCAATTGAATAAGGCTGACTTGTTCCCCGACACCCTTAATGCCAATGCCTGTTCTCCCACTTTTTTCCCATCTGGCCTTGGTGAAGAGTTCTTCACACAACCACAAATCAACGTAAATTATAAGGAAACAAAAATATTAAAAGAAAGTTAATTTTAAAAAAATTATTGCGTGTGATGATAATATCACGTTACATGAAATATTTCTCGCAAACGTGAGACATTTATGTACCTTAATAATAAGGTTAGCTGCCACGAAGTAGTCGGATTCGGCAATCACTGTGGCACTGTCCACAGTTCCATACTTTTGGGTTGTACCAGCAAAGGTCAAAGTTGGCATATTTGTTGGAGAGCCATAAAATGTAACAAATGGTATATTCCGTGGAATTGTGATTTTCTCATTGTACTCTCCCCCTCCAATGTACATAATGACACGTTTGGTGTTGTCAGCCGGAATGCTATTAATGACGTCAGTGATGGTCTTGAATTCTCCACTTCCGTCTTTCATAACCTTGACGATGGTTTGACCAACCTCAGCTGTTACAAGGGCATGGTCAAGCATGCCCTGCTGTTCTTTGTACGAATTCACGTTGTTATTGAACCACGTGTTGACTTGGGAGTGGTCGGCTGGTACCGGTGTATCATCATCTGCCACGGCTATAGTGGCGGTGAGGAGAATTAATGTCACGGTTAGAGCTGCATGGACATCCAAGCATGTGTTTTTTCCGTCCATTTTTATTGTTTATTTTTCTGGGTTCTTGGTTTCGAGTTTTTGTACTGTATTAGGTGCTGTTGATTAGAATGGTGAATAGAAGGCTTTGATTTTATAGTCCACTATGAAAGAGCTGGTTAAGGCACAATGCACATTGAGAGGGATTAATCCTAAATTTGTGGGTTTTGGAGAGCTTCTTGCACATTTTAGTTCCTAATTAGGGGCTTATGTTCATTTAGATTTCAGTTACGCATTTTGTATTTGTTGAATAACAAAAAAAACACTAGCTGTAGCTAGCTCTACAGCTTAATTTGGGAAGGCATAAGAGGACATAATTGTGGTATTATTAAGAGAGTTCACTTTGCCATCACATATAAAATCCTAGTTATACCCTTGATTATTAAGGATAGTCACACATTCGCAACGGCAAAACCACCTTTAGACTAGGTTGGGCTCCACGCGTGTAGAAATATCTAGAAAAATAGGGATTTAGAGCTAATTTTAGGAAGTTCACCCCACTTAGTGAAAGCTCACCTCATTCTATAAAAAATTAGTCCTCTCAAACCTAATGTAGCTCCTTTAGTGGAGAAAAAAAGGAGAGTAAAAGAGTTGACAATTAATCTTTTTGATATATTGACAATATTATATTATATAAGAGCATTCTTGCTCACCACTTTTAACCTAATGTGTATTTTCATCACCATTCTCAATACTTGACGCATGTCTATGGGTAGTAGAACCGTAGTTTTTTGTTTTTTGTTTTGTGTTTTGTGTGTGTATGTGTGATAATATTATAATGAGAGAGAAAGATACTCCCACTCAAAGGTGGATGAAATTAATTACTTTATTACAACTGGACTTGTTACTTATTGTTACTTAATTTTTATCTTTAAAAATTAATATATGATCATTTAGAAGTTAAGCAATTAAAAGTCTAGTTATAGGATCTAGGTCACTTTGCGCTGCAAGGAAGGCTACATGGGTTAGATAAGCTCTTGAACATCTTCCAATCGTGAACCATAACCGTCAGATCAGCCACCTTAACATCTATAGGGCTCGTTTGCTACACAAGACTGTCTTGGCATGGACTATGCGTAGGGACTGTCTTGACTTGGTCTAAGTTGGATAACACTTATCCTATGTTTGGTGTATGCTTGGATTAAGACTAGATTTTTTTATTTTTTCAAAACTATCTATATATATGTATATGTGTATAAATACATATATTATGTATATGTATATATGTATTTTATAATATATAATATATATGTATACAGAGAGCTTCCATTGAGGGATCCCTCAAATAAGCTTATTTGAGGGACACCCCTTGTAGGGCCCACTCCGGATTGTATTTCACTAATCCAAACCGTCTATTTTGTAGATACACATTCAAAGATCATCTCTACAAAAAATCACTTGAATCCGATATCTTTTGACCATGCAATTGAGTTATTGAAATTTTAGTATTTTCTTGAAGCACCGTGTTCATTGATTTTGTAGGACACAATTGGATGTCGAAACGGTTTCCGATTTGTCTAATTTTTTGTAAGGATGATCTATGAATGAAGACCTAAAAAATAGATGGTTTTGATCATTGGAAAAAAAATTGTAGGGTACCCTAAAGGGCATCCCTCAAATAAAATTATTTGAGGGATCCCTCAATAGAAGGGGACTGTATATGTATATATACATACATATAATATATATGTATATATAACATATATGTGTATATACATGTATATATGTATATTATAATAATATAAAAATATATATGTGTGTGTGTGTGTATGTATAGGTATATATATATGTATATTATAATATATAAGGGTATGTTGCAATAATAATATACATGTATATACGTGTATATATGTATATTATAATATATATAATAAAAATATGCATATATAATATATATATATATATATATACAGTCTCCTTCTATTGAGGGATCCCTCAAATAATTTTATTTGAGGGACGCCCTTTAGGGTACCCTACAATTTTTTTTCCA